AGTTGAAATTGGGTGTTTTACCAGCTGTTGTGTTTCAGTGGCCCCTCTGGTGTGGTGGGACTTCAGGCCCTTGATCTTTTCTGGTTGGTGTTTGCAGTTTGATTGGAAGAGAGCTGGGCGGTTCAGTGTGAGGGATGGGCAGCTGGCAGTGGTCCTCACGTGCTGCTCTCTCCCGCCCCATCACTGCAGGAGTGGAATAGACCTGTGCTGCTACTTGCTTTTCCAAGTTCGGAATCAGAGGCTGTGGTTTTGAAACGTGGTTTCTGGATCGTAGATCAAAAGATGAGGCCTGAAGTGCACGCAGAGGTTCGGATTGGGCTTCATTCATGTTCATGCTGTCAGGATGATTTCTTTCTCCCTGGGGACCAGCCGGGCTGGTGCCAGGAAGGCCAGGGCACCTAGGAGCTGTGACAGCACACCGAGCACAGGCATGCGTGTCACACGTACCCCGAGCCTGTTCAGTGCCTCTTACACTCAGCCTCTGAGTCCTGTGGGTCTTTGGGGAAATACTGTCCTTAAGTTTTACTCTAGTTCTATAATTAGCTCCCATATTATACTACCCAACCCCAATAGAATGAAATTCCCTTTGATTGTTTGCTGGTAGCTAAATTGATTGAAGCCAGAAGTCTGCCATCTGAGCTAATATAGTTTCACAGTTTAAGATTATAAAAATGTTGACGATACATATTTACCAAAGGATTCCTCAGTGTCAGGCAGCATTCTAAGCACTTCATACATGTTTGCTTTTGTTTGATCCTCATTACAGCTGAGGAGGCGAGACTGGAATTAAGCCCATTTAACAGATGAAGAAACTGAGACTGCCATGCTCAGTTGGTAAAACCAGTGGCAGAGCTGGGATTTGAACCAGGTTGTTGACCTCTGGGCTTACCTGCTGTGTGCTCCAGGGCGTTCTTTAAGAGCTTTTCTGACCATAAACTTTGAGATTGAAATCAATGAAATCTCTCCATTTGTCTTTTTTTTTTTTTTTAACCAAGAAAGGATATGATTTCATGCCCTTCTTTTGTCCCAAGAAACCTGTTCAAAATATAGAGGTGCATACTTCCTCCAGAAAAATTATGTCCAAACTGGAGTGGAAGATTAGAGCTTGAGATTATAAACTCTTCGCTGAGTTTGTCCTCTGTGGTCTTTTCTTCTTTGGAAACGGGTGTAGCTTGCATTTTGGTGTTTGTTTGTTTTCCCTTGGAAACAGGACTAATGAATCAGTTTGCCTTCTCTGACGAACTCTCTTGTGATGCACACTGGCCTGAGGTGAGAACCTCAAACAGAAGGCGGGACCTTAGGCTCTGTGTGACAGTGTTTCTCCCAGTGGCACTCCCAGAATTGGTCCATTTTTAACTTTTATCTTTTTGATCTCCTGATGCCCCACTCAAGAAAAGCAGTATTGAAAGTGTTTGGAAATACAGTTCATTCTCTGAGGCGGCTGCGGTGCCCGTGAGTAATAGAGTCAAAGGAAGGCCAAAGGGAGAGCTTCTTAATATAGACCATTACTGAGACCCACCGATAGGTGACAACACGCCTTTTCTTCTGATTTCCTCCCTGGAAGTAGAGGGAGTTGGAAAGGCAGGAAGCAAAGACCTTTCAGAGTAAAATTCAAGTTTTAGATGAATCAGTCCGCTTTCAGCTGCTGACTTGGTGCTACTGGGTGTTCAGCAAAGACATCTGGGCTTGAAGGGCTCTGTGATCTGGCTTTAGAATGGGCAATGCTGTTGAGAAACAGAAGCCCCTGCCCCAAAGCCATCTGTGTCCCTGGAAACAAGGTAAGAACCGGGCTCCTTAGCAGGAAGGAGGGTGGCAGCCTTTGGTGGGAATACTTGGACCCAAAATCAGAGCTAAACTGCCTGGGGAAGTACCTTCCGTTCAGCAGAGGTTAAAGAAAATTAACAGCTATTTCTAAGGAATAAAATGGCTCGTATCTCAATATGACCACATGGCGCAGTGTAGCACCTGTCGGTTGGTTAAAAATGTTTAGATTCAAAAAATATTCCATGTAAATATTTTTCTATCCAGGAGTTTGAATCTTTTGTGAGTTTGCTGTGGAGAATGTCATTAATGGCTTTTAAATAGATAGATCCTTTCTTCTTAGGATTCAGAGTACCTTCTGTAAAGGAATCTCATTTATCCAGCCTGGCCACCCATGATGTGGGTCAGCGGCATCTAGTAACACCTACTCTTTGTCTCTAAGGGCTGTGTTAGTGTCAGCTTTGAGGTGGAGAAAGCCAGTGAGGCACAGAGCAACGCTGGGTGCTCCTGGAGCTGCGGGCCATGCACGTGTCCCAGGGCAGCTCCGTCTCCCAGTGCACGCGCTGCCCATTTTCACTGTTGTTAATCCAGCAGACCAGCAGCTGTGGGCAGACCTGGCAGGCATGTCAAACTGTCAGAATGGTTCCCTCGGGACTTCAAGCCCTGGCTCTTTTACCTCCACTTGACACACAAAAAACCAAAAAACCCAGAGCTAGCACTTGACCTGCAGCAAGACAGTTTGCTTGCTACTGTGTGGATGTGTGCTGATGTAGGGAAAATAAACTGAAGAAAATGCTGGGTTTGTGAACAGTAGTCTTCTGAGATCAGAGTATGGATAATTGTTTTTAAGGGAAAAGTAGATGGGAGGCTAATAGATTGTGAAGTTTCAGCCCCTCTGACTTTCCATCGGCCATTCTTTGTCCATCCAGGTAGGTTGACAGAGGTATTTTTAGTGGTCCTTGATCAGGTCCTTGTTCAGCTAGAACAGTGATAACACATTAGGGGAGTTCAGGAACTTTGAATATATACTGGGTAGTAGATGATGTTTGGAACCATTGCTAATTTTTTGATGCACAATAATGGTAGTGAGTCATGTAGGAGAATGTTCTTTTTTGGATAGTCATGCTGAAGTATTTAGGAGTAAAGGGTTATGCTGTCTATAATTTTATTCTAAAATGATTCAGGTCAGTGAATGCATACATACATACACACATACTTACAGATAAGCAAAATAGGATAAGTTTAGCAAGTGTTAGAATCCATGTTAATGGATCTGTGAAGTTTGTTATATATTTTTAAGTGTATTTTACTTTAAAACAAAAACCAAAAACCATTTGCTTACTAGGACAGCATAGCAGCATCCTTCAGGAGAAGGGTCTTAGTCACTGAGGTGGTCGAGTGCAGCACGCTTCGTCAGCACCACGTGGGCTGGTGGCTCCCATAGCGCCAAAGCACCACTTTGTAGAAGGAGTTTAATATGTTTACTTACTTTCAGATTACCTCTGGTTTTCCTTAGAAAATGTCTAGGAGTTAAAACATCTTAAAATTTACTTTGCAGCAGATGGATTTACAGACAAAATTAAAGAAAGCTGTATGGTTTTTGTTGTTACGATGTTTAGTTGCATTCGGTAATTTTAATGAGAGCAGTTGTAGGGCTGCTGTTGATAGTAGAGATCTCAGGCTCCATAGGGGAAGAAGAGCAGCTCGTTGCCCCTGATTTCTAAGTCTTCGTGGTCCCGGTGCCAGGAGCACGCCTCTGCCAGTGCCGGGTTTGTCTGTGCAGGTCAGGCTCTGGGACGGCACTTTGTCTCCCAGCCAAAGTCCATCCAGCCCCGCCAGGCACCCACAGTAACGGGTGTGTCCTGCAGTTTATCTGTTTGTCGCGTCTCGAAAGGGTTGTTTATGTTTTAGAAATTTGATTTTAAAGCAGTATTTGGAAACCAGATTTAATTAATCCTAGGCACCACCCTGACCCTGAGTACATTTTCCTCAGTCTACGCTCCTGAGGTTGTGAATCTCAGCGGATGGCTGATGGCCCCAGGGCCTGCAGCAGGGTGTCGGCCTGCTTTAGGGGCAAGTGAACGGTAAACTGAGCACGTCCTCATGTGCATTTGCTCCGGGAAGCTGGGACGGCCCAGGCTGCCCCGACTTCTGTTCAGTGGCCTTATGACTCATTGACCCAGACGCCTCAGAAGACACACTCTCTCAATCTCTCTCTCTCTTTTTTCTTTCTTTTTCAGAAATAATTTGAAGGTTGCTTACGGTGGTCATTTTGGCTTTGGGCAGAGAAGTTTCCTTGGGAATTAAAAATCGCAGCAGTAATTGCAAATTGAATTGTTATCTCCTTCAGAAATCCCAGCAGCTCTGGGCCATACCAGCCTGTTAAATGGAAATGTTAATGATTTGCATGTTTGTACACAGTTGGGTGTGAGCTAACCAAATTAACAGCCTTCGTGGAAGAGCTGACTGTGCAAAGTGCCTTCCCAGGCCGAGCTGAGGGGCCTGCAGCGCTGGAAGGAGATTGGCGGGCGAGCTGGGGGAGGGGTGGGGTGGACTGTTGAGAGGCAAGGATTTGAAGGATTTCCACGTGCTCCTGGCCCCTGTGCTATGGGGGCAGTTTTATGACGGGTTGGATTCCAGTCGGCACGGTGTTTAGACTTGCCTCTGCAGGCTCGGTGCTGAGGACGCCTGTGGGGCTGCTGGGCGCTGTGTGCCAGGTAATTAATATGATGGCTTTTCTGGCCAATGCTGA